GTACTGCACTGGCTAAATTGCTCATCTACAGCGTGTGACTCGTCGCAGCTTTAATGGCTGACCAACTACACGCTGTATAATTATCCCCGCAACCCCCCCCCCCCCCCCCCCCCCATTTCGAAAGGCGCAAATATTGTTTTAGAAGTGTCTAGTAAATGAACAAAAAAAAAAAAACACAAAAAAACTAGCGAATAAAAGTAGGAGCATGCCTGTTGCGCGTTAGGTCACAACTTACAATACTGGAAGTAAACGTGGCAATTGTGCGGTGATGATGATTATGATGATGTCGGCAGCCTGTACGATTACTCAACTGTCCGCCGTCACGAAGCTGCGGTGGCGCTGCTGTCGGCACTGCGCATGCGCAGAAGCTTCGTCTCACTCGAACCGGGTTTCAGCGCGCGGGCAGTGCCCTCACCCGATGTGGGCAAACGCTTACTTGTCCGGCGTGTCGCTTTACAGTCACCGACAACTTAAGAAAGGCAGGCCGTTGCGAACCCCAAGCATTTGATATTATTGTTTGGCAGACAATGGGATTTTTGCATTAGCAGATAAGAGCGCCAAAGAAGGAATTAAGGAGCGAGAATTCCGAACATAATTCGATGGTGCTTTGAGGGTTTTTTGAGCAGTCGGGGACCATATAGGAGCTGGAAGTAATTATACTCCTTTTCACCTCAAGAACAAAAAAAAAAAAAAAAAAAAAAAGAAACAGTTTTGCGCATTGTTTATACGCCGCGCGAAATAGTTCGTTCAATATTTGGTTGTTGAGAGCAAAAGCGATGCTTTTGACGTTTGGAGCGTGCACATCTTGATAAGATTACACATATCTATCCTAAAATACATATATCTTAATTCTCAACATAAAGGAGGAGATTATTAGTTTTCTGCTTTTTTACCGTAGTGAAAACCGTAGTAAAAATACTACGGTTCTTGAGGTGAAAACGAGTACAGATCTTGGAAAGAAGCCTCCTTGCGGTTTCAAGTCTCAGAGGGGAACAAATTGGTGCGGAATGAGCGGAAAGGGCTTGTGGATTCGGTATAACTTGGAGATCTTTATGTCCAGCCACGAGGATTTTTTTTCTTTGCGTTTATTAGGGAACAGCTAAAAAAAAAAGAAGCGGAAAAAAAAAAAAGAAAACGATGGAGAGGTAACTTTTAGAGAATTTTTATCCCGTGAATTTTAATATCACGCTCGTTTTCCCCGAAGATGCTAAAGTTGAGGCTTGGGCGAGTTGGTACATACTTCGGAAATTAAAAACAGCGCGGAAAGACGAGGACCAGACGTCCGTGTCACTTCTTTGTCTGGTCCTCGTCTTTCCGCGCTGTTTTTAATTTCCCCGAAGATGCAATAAAGCGCGAGAAAACATGAACAACATCCGACCAGTCGTTACGTCATACTAGAATCTTTCGGCTGCCAAACGCGTGTCGCTCGTGTGGGCAGCGCATGCAATTGCAAGTTTTTCCAGTCATATTCCCCCGCACTGACATCAGTCGTGACGTCTTTTGCGGACCTTTCTTAAAAACAGCCAGAAAAGTGCACCTGCATTTCTTCGACAGGCGCTGAAGATGCGCGAGAGTGGAGATTCTAAAACTTTGGCCTAGCCTCCTCTATACTCACAAGGCCTGGCAGTTCTACGACGGAACCATAGAGTGCCCGGTCGCAGATTTGGAGCGCGACAATCTGGTAGCACGGAGCATTTCTCGGGGAACCTGGACGTCAGCACAGCTTTTGCAGCGGCGAGGAACCGACACATTGTTTTCAAACCCGACAAGAAAATTGTGGTAGCGCGAGGAACGCGAGGAGCACAAGTGGACTCTCCATCGCTCGGGAGAAGTGTGTTTCGGCGTCTCGCCGCAGCGGGGTGCCCGTCACGTGGCTTTCCTCTCATCCGTTGTCAGCCGCTCTACCTTCGCGATTTCGACGGCCGCTTCTCCTGGCAATGTGCCAGGCATTTGCGAGTATAGAGGAGGCTATGAATCTGGATATGATGTCACTCTCCGGGAAGAAGAAGCTTCAGCGGTACTTTGAAAACGTTTTTCTGCAGCCTCCGTGCCCTGATTTGAAAAATAATCTTAATATTCGTGATCCTTGAGGCAAAATGAAGAGGATTTAAGTGTTTTTTTTCTCTCAAATACAGAACCAATTTCACTTTTTGCTTTAAGGGGGGTCACGCAACAATATTTGCTTGGAATAGTTTTCGCTATACAAAAGCTTACTGACACTAGTGAGACCCGAGTACACTTGCACGCAATGTCACTGAACAAGAAACTCCTTTGTTGCGGTGTAATTTCAAGGAAGAAAAAGAGTGTTTCCTTTCAATTTTTCTTTCGCAAACTTGATGACGCAGCTATGGGGTCGAAGCTGACGATATTTGGATGCCGCTCATATATCGGACCCCAGCATTACGTGAGCACTTGATTTGGGCTCGTGACAATCCATAACTCGACAAGCGTTAGTGGCCCGCGTCCGATCGCAGCAATGGCGACAATAGCCGAGCCATAACAACATCTGGAACCCAGCGCGTGTTCCGTGTCTTGCCAACCCCAGCGCGTGGTTATGATCAATATTGGCGACATATAGACCTTTTCTTTAAAGGCGCCGCCATCTTGAGAATTGCGTCGCCGACGGCGCCGTCTACCGGCTTAGAAAAAGAGATGCTGGCTAGTTCTGGCAGCACAGCTATCTGGGTAGGCAACGGTGTGGGTATGGGGGGGAACTTGGCTAGACTTGGCTATGGTGGGCTGCAATAACTTGGTTGGAGCTTGTCCGGTGAAATCCAGCTGGCTACTCACAGGCCATCACTTTGCCGCCTCGAAAGAACGAGGACGAAGACGGTGGGGTGTTTTGATTGAGTTTCCACAGCGAAGCATATATGAGCAATTTAATGTAGTCTATATATATGCAGGTAAGCTCTCGACATTTGATAGCTCCACCTTGAGTGGTGGCATGTGGACTTTTTTATACTTTTCACATACCATGGGGCTTACAGTGATAACCTAATTAGACCACCTGCACCGGGAATTAAAATCTGTCCTCTTGTCGTACACGAGGTGATCGTGAGCTCAAACGTGGCGTTCAGTCTGATAGGTATCTCTCGTGATTAAATCTCGCAATCGACTGATTTCATAAATTAGGATTTTTGGGGAAAATGCGAAGCTCGATAACAATGCAGCCACACTCGCCCTGCAGCTTTTTGTGCTCATGGCACACTTTCGGCTATTGTTCTTGTGCTTTTTGAAATTATTTATCCATCCGACGACCACGCAGCGGTAGCCAGACAACCATAGATTTTTGGAAATTGCAGTACAGTAAATAGGAGCACTCGGAACTAACTCATGGACGACATCCGTTTTTAAGCCTCTTCGCCCATACCCTTGGCGGTTGCATACCCTGTGTCAGCGGGCAATTTAAAAATGCACCAAGTCGAGGGTACGTCAGTTACTGGCTGGTTAGAGGCTATGGGAAAAAGGTCTATAGGGAGTATTCACTGGCGGCCATAGCTGTGTGCACGACTGATGAGCGCGTGCTGATGGCGAGCTTCCACAGTTCTTTTGTAACGTGCATTCCGCACCCTCAAGATTGCCGATCTTAGCAGCCTATTAATGTGGGCTCGTTCTGAGCATGCGCTCTAAACAGTACCCACAAATATGGCGCCCAGTGAATACTCCTTATTGCGTGTGGGGAAAAACAAACGAGTGTTTCATAGGTCATTAACGTCAAGGATTCGTTCTAACCGGTATTTGCGCAATGTACAAAAAATGTATGGGAAATTCTTAGGCAATTTTGTTGGAATAGTGAAACGTTCTAGAATTACAAGCGTTTCGCGATAGCTGCACCTCGTGGCAGCACCGATATGCAATCGGTGTCACGTAATCTACGCTTTCCGCTAAATTTGGCGGGGAATTTGAATTGACATGTAGGTTACGTGACATCATGTCACGTGACATCATTTTTCCCGCTAAACTCAGCGGGGAAACTGAATTTTATGTAGGTCAAGTGACGTAATTTTCTCGCTAAATCTAGATGGTGAAACATATATGTGTTGAGGTCACCTGACGTTAATTTTCCCGCTAAATTTAGCAGGGAAACTTAATCCGGCTTCCCCTAACCTGACTTCACGAAATCTGGAGCAACTAGCCACTTGGCATGAAGTCATGTGACATCATTTTCCCCACAAAATTTAGCGAGAACGTTCAATTGGCGCTGAGGTCACGTAAGGTCAATTTTCCCGCTAAATCTAGTAAGGAAACTGAATTTACGCACGGGTCACGTGACATCATGTCACGTGGCATCAATTTTTCCGCTGATGATAGCGGGGAAACTGAATTGTCTGTTTAACTCGCGTGAGATGACTTCATGTGACATCATTTCGTAACACTGCTCGCATTTCATTATGGGAGATCACAGAAGTATACATCACTTAAACTTCCCCCGCTAAAGTCAGCGGAAAAACTGAACTGGTGTGTAGGTCTGTGATGTCCCATAATGTAACACTGCGCGCGTTGCAGTATGATGAATTGGTCTTCAGGTCACGTGACTTCAATTTCCCCCACTAAATCTAGCGGGGAAACTTAATCCGGCTTCACGAAACCCGGAGCAACTAGCCAAAGAACGCTTCACGTTAAAATCGGTGCATCGCCTCTTTAATTTGAATCGTATCTTTGGTTTCTTCTCAGATACCATACTGGATATAAAAAGTGCCACACAAGGCAAATTGAATGCATTCCAAGTAACAAAAAGAGTGAGTCTACTTCATTGTTTCCAGCATTGTATAAATGAATGATTTTGTTTTTTTGTTTTTCCCAGAAGTTGCTTTTATTATATCGCCCGCTTCAGTTTTCTTAGGGCGAACACTACGTTACAGATTCTCTTCCGCCAGCACCGGCTCTTCACCTTCTTCGTACTTTGCTTGAGCCTGGCGGTTGTGGTGCCCGTTGTGGGCATCGGCTGGATTTGCAGTAGGACGTGCTGTAAATGTTGCCTCCGTGGGGAAAGACAAGGCAGCCGTCGCAGTTGCAAACAAAGTTGCTGCAGCGCGACACTGATCGCCGCCGCCTCCATCATGACGTAAGCCTTCGCCCGGTACCCCTCGAAAAACCGGAGTCCAAAACTTTGGTTCCCTCTCCCTTTAACGGACTGTTTCTTAGTGCGAGTCTTGGGTTCTACAATATAAGAAACTCGGTGCGTCTGCTTTCCCACAAAGCAGTCGGGTGAGCCAATCAGTGCAACCTATATAGACCATTCCATTTAGCGCTCTGAGGGCGGCGCGATTTTGTTAGACCGCAGCGGCCTCTCCACACGTGCGGGAAGATCAGCAGGTTCGGCGGGGTAAAGCGAGAGAGAGGGCACGCGCCCGACTCTGCTAGCAGACGAAAAACCGGGAGGTTGCCGTTCTCCATCTTTGGGCTGTACCGGCGGGGTCTACCGAACAGAGAACTCTCGCTCGTGGCTGCCGTTATGAAATAGTTCGCATTGTTAGAATATTTATGGCTACTCCAAACTCAGCCTTTAGCGCTCTGTTCTGTTTCAGTAAATGATCAACTAGCGTATCTTTGTTCCGTTACTTTAATAGCGGTGGAGTCAGCCGGCACCCCAACCATGCGTCTATTGTGCCGGGAGAGCACGTTTTTATTTATTTTTCCAGGCTTCCACTTATCATCCCTAAAGGCCTAGACCAGTACGAACTTGGTATAGTAAAAATGGCGACCGCATTTAGTTTTCGCCGGAGCGACCGGCCCCACTGACACAGTTTTTCCATTTTTTTTTATTTGCACGCAGGTAACATCTCAATTAGACTTGGTTAGTTTTTTTTTTTTTTATCGAGCATAGCATTAAACGATAACTTGTATATCAAAATTCGCGCATCTGCGCTTCGAATTTCTAAAATGACGCGATTTTAAACCGAGTATGAGCGCCAGCCGGATGTAAGGTACAGCCCACTCGGCGGAGCAGACGAAGCACGGGGTGAGAGGGGGAGAACATTTTTTCTCTCACCGCTCATCCTAGTGGAACGGTCTATAGGCTCCTTGCACTGACGTCACATCGCATACCTTTGAACACCATGTAAAAGGAGGAGAAGGAAGCTGCTTTTGTAAGAATTTTGAGTGACAGGTTAATCTTCTATAATCTTCTGTGAGAAGAACAGCGACGTCTGTGCTTATCCGGGGGACACAAAGGAGGGTCATGATAAGAGGGGAGCCCCTTCTTCCCCTTTTCTTTGGAGGACATCGGAAATGACGTCATTTCGAGGGGACTGGTTTCTCACATCCGGTGCGGTACGATGGGCCCTCCGATACGAACTGCTCATGCGCAAGTCTTGTGGCGCATTCACACTGGCGGTTGTGCTGCGTTTGCAAAGCGGTTGCGGATGCGGCTCGTGAGCGAGCGGAATCCGCAACTGTTCAGACGCACCGAGACGCGGTTGGTGGCTTCTCGGCAATCACGCGTGATCTTTTCAGACTTTTGTTTGATAACCCTCTTTTACAATCTAAAATTCAGTTTAAACCACGATCCAACGCGAAAAGTTAGCTATTTTGGCAATGAAGATTTTTCTTCAGGATGTTCGTACGCATCACGAGTTCAGGCAGCGAAAAAAAGAGACGTGGTCACGCAAAACCCGTCTGCGATTCCCTCGACTTCGCCCACAAACGAAGCCCAGCGTACCTTGCTCACTCGGAAGGAATTCCCCCGACTATTCCTCTGAAGTTGACCCTTCTCGTATAAATAGCTGATCTGGTCTTACGTATAAAAAGTCAGCCCCCCCCCCCTCCCCCCCCCCCCCCCCCTCCGCCCCCTCGCCGTTTACTTTTTTTATTCTCGGAGTAGTGAGCCGCACCGGTAGACCGTGGTGCAGGAGTGTGTTCGGCACGGGCCAGTCGTGGCTTCGTTCGTGACGAACTCTCCTCTCGTCACTTTCACGTCAATCGAGTGTACTGTCTGTTTGACATTAAGCTCGAATAGATGCCTAATGGATTACATATGCATCGTCTGGTACGTACACTTTACTTCTTGAGCAGGTTCCTTTTACCTTTTTTGGTAGTAGTAAACATCACAGGTCGAACTAGCGCAGGTACCCTGCCACCTCCGTGGTAGTGTGTTGGCTACGTAATTGGACTCACGAAGTCCTTCGCGGTGTTCATGCACGGCGGCGAAAGCTTTCAGTAGTTTACGTGACAGTCTTAGCGGATACATAAAATGCCATTTCGCTTGATCAGCGGCGGGTATCGACGTTCCACGGGCAAACACCAACAAGGCAGCGAGCGACGGGGTTTGACAACCCGAATAATAAGCAAACTCTTACCCGAACGAAATCATCGGTGCAAAGCCGGTTAAGATTACGAATCAACTTTTTTTCGCTGCGGATTCAAGTGACGAACGTGAACACCGGGTCTCTTCGTTGATTTGTCTGCTGCAACGCTAGGACGCCTCACCAGCGACAGATGCCATCTTGGTTCGAAAGCCACCGACGTCACGTCGGCGTCGCGTTGCGATTGGTTGCCGCTTTGCGGTTGCGAAAGTGGTTTGGGGCAAAATCGGTCCAGAAGCGGTTGGTAAAAACGCGCACAGCCGATCTGCGTTTGAGAGCGCGCGGTTCCGCTTCGCGGTTGCGGATTCGCCTCCGGTGTGAACGCGCAATTATGCGGTAGCAGATTCGCAGTTTATACCGGAGTGCCCATCACAATAGACAGTTTTAGGGAACCGTTTTTGGACATACGATACGGTACGACGTACCCTTCGGTACGAACTGCTCATGGGCTAGTCTTCTACGGTAACGGATGCGCAGTTTGTGCCGCAGGACCCATATCCTCCGTACCGGATGTGCAAAAATGGTTCCCGAAAACTTTCTAGTAGTAGGAAGTCTGCGCTTCGGCACCGAGCACGGTAAAAGCTCAGTGCCACATCGCGGACCGTTTTTTAGGTCTGAACAGAAGGTTCGCCTTTACTTCCTGATACGACTGTTGAAATGTCTTCCACTCGTATTTAAGCGATATCTCCCTAAACGACGCATTTTTTTGCGTCATAGGTAGGATTTTGTCTTTTCGGAGCTTGTTTCTAGTGAAATTGGGAGGGGGTTCTTCGAAGTTTATTTTTTTTTTTTTGCTGAAAATTTGGCGGTTAGCGGAATTTATTTTTGTTAGCTTTACAATTCCCTCGAGTCCGGAGTTTATTGTGTTGTTTTCCAAATTTTTAAAAATAATTCGAAATCAAAATAGTGTTTGGGTACCAGGACTCGCTGTCTCGAAGAAACCGAGCTCAAAGGCAAACCCCTTTCGTCCTAACTGCAACATCTCCAAGGAATGTGAAGTTGCATCTTCTTAGGGCCACTGACTTTATACTCTTATAAATTTTAGTAGTAAAACACCTTTGTTTTTATTTTCTGTTGTGACCTCCCAATTTCGAGTCTTTCGGACAAATCCCAATTGAGAATAAATTTACCGGCGAGCGCGGATTTTTTTTTTCGGACTTATCCCAAAACACGAAAGCCCTAATGATAGTACATTGGAGGTTAAGGTCGCCCTCGATTTTTGGTTTAGTTTTCAGAGTGCCATTTTTTGTCGTTTAATTTTAATTTTTCCAGACCGTCACACCTGACGGCTCTCTATTTCGTGCTTCCGCAGAGTGTCCCTCCTCTTTGCATTCACCAGCTACAGCCGCCTTCCGGAGAACATCGATAACATTGCCCAGGCCATGAAGGAAGTGCTCAGTGACGTTTACAACCTCTACAAGAGAACCAAGATTGTAAGAAACGTTGCGCTACACACTATGCTAATGATTAGAATCACCGACGGCTTAAGAAACATAGAGCGTGGTGAGCCACGTGCATCTCGTTAACTCTCTGCAGCCAATCAGAATGCGGCATTATCCGACAAGATCGCGCAGGACCAGTCACGAAGCATGAACAAGTCCTAAGCCACGCCCTGCCTTTCTTAAGCTCGAAGTGACTGTAGTTGAGTGGTGAAAGATAATTATAATATTCAGATGCCGCGTCATTCGGCCTAAATACCAACTGTGCCTTAAAAAACAAAAAAAATGTGCATCTTTTTTTTTTTTTTGGCGTAAACTTAAATTACGCAAATGGAACATTCCCTAGAGTGTTTTTGTAGATCATTTTCGTCGTTCCTGAACACTCTGAGCAACTCGCTACGACACCCAAAACTCAACAGTCAAGGTCATGGACGTGCAGGCGCAATTGCGGCTTCTTCGATGCGGAGGATTTAGTGGAGGGGGAAATCCGGTCTACGAAAACTTCCTTTTGTCTCGACCCAAAATGTGGCGCTAGTGGTTCAGACCAAATGTCAAAGTTTCAAGGCTTGCTGCTGTCCGAATAGGAAGTTTCAAGCGATCTTCGAGCACTTCCAACGTGAAAATGGCGGCCTCCCTGGAGTGCACGGAAACGAATGACGTTGGCTTACCGGTAACGGGCCCTGTTTTCTCATTCGTAAGCCCGACGTCCGTAGAAACAAATCAACAAAGCGACGTGCGGACAGCTAAACAAATCACTAACAAGAAACAAAAAAAAAAAAAAAAAAAAAACACGCAAGATCGCGATGTATTTACCGTGAGTGATTGGCTTAGCTGATGATAGACGCTCAATAACGACGATAGCCGTGACGTCACACTTTTGGACTTGCTGATTGGCTCAATCGGATCGTAGCGTTTGCAGCGGTCGGATTTATGTAGAGCGCAAGTTCGACTGTGTCTTGCGCAGGGGTTTCACTGGCGTGACAATGCCGAGCTCTGATTGGCTCTGATGAAAGGGATAGTGGGTTGACCTGAGCTGCCTTGATGTCTACCCACTATCTTTTCAATTGGAGCCAATCAGAGCTCGGCCTCGTTCTGACGTCACCACAACCCGTGCTCATGAAGCAGACGAACTCGCGCTCTGCACTGCGAAACGGAGTAGCTCAGCTAGGAAGGGTCAACGACATCTAGGATAATGAAGGCCTTCCAACTTCATCTCCCTCTTCCTCCATGCAACGTCGTCACAGCCGGATGGCGCCGACTCGGCAGTTGGATCCGAGCCCGGTGCCGAGCATCGTTCGACACGTTCATTGGACACGAGGCGCAGCCGAGCACTGACGCGGCACTCGTATCTAATCGGTGTCTTCATGCGATCTCACTGTGATGATCGACACAAAAATTGTACTGCACGGGCTTGGAATATTGTATGTAATGTTGGAAGCGTATATATAGAGATATTCGGTGACTGCGCTCGTTTCCATTGGAATAAAGCTGCGCTGGCGCGTTGTCGGTGATTTCCAAAATGGTGCCAGCTATTTGAGCTCGTTCGAACTTTTCTTCGACCGTCGTTTTCATTAGAATCCGTACTTAAAACAGCTCAAGACAGTAAAGGACGCGAGGGAGGACTCGACGCTTTCCTAGGAGCCGCTGTTAACTGAATTTCTGTGCTTCGCGGCACTGTATATTTCGATGAAAGCCAGCCAGGCAGCGCCAGAAGTGGTTCGTCACGCGTTTGTCTTAACAGGTATATCCTTCTACCGGCTTAACCAATCCCGCGCATTAAAGGAGCGCATGATCGGGGCACATTCACTCTTCGTGATTAGCATACGTGTCAGGTGACATCAAACGCACAAAGGCGATGAGCTCCGTGACGGTGCACTTTCGGTGCTGCTCGGTTGGATCCCTCCAATTGTCGGCTGCGATCTGATTAAAGGCTGATTCACACAAAAACGTTTCCTTTCGATTTCTTGCCTAAGGCACAAGTCAGCATCATCAGTGCCACGAATGTCGCGTGCCAGCTCCGCTCCTCGAGCTGGTTGCCACGCTTCGCGCGAAACACAGGTGCCTTGCGGTGACTCTCGATGGCGAAAGCCGACGTAAGCTTTCGATAACACTACGCAACGTAAGAGAAAACGGTACTGCGGGGACCGGCTTTTAGAGGATGAACCGCGTATAAGCGATTTAGCGAGTGACGAGACGAGGAACGGCGGCGGGAGTCAGCGACGAGCGACGGAGATTTCTCGCTGTCGCTCGTCGCGGCGCTCGCGTATTTTGGATCTGTTTTAGAAAACGTCGCTCATCGACTTAGTCGCTCGCTCCCACGTCGCTTTCATGCAGTCTTGTTTGATTCGTCGCGCGACCGACAGAGCGACAGTGAAGCGGGTAACCGTCGTTTGTCTCGTCGCTCGCCAAATCACTTACATGCGGTTTATATACTTTAAAGTGAGCCGTAGTATTGAAGCGACTTACCACGATGCGAGCTGTTTTCGTCTCTTGATTTTCGTTTTAGGAGGTAGGAACACTGACGGTCACCAATTACGCCAGCTTTTCTGACAGCCTGATAAATAAACTTCTAGGTGAGTCTGCATCCTTTCGCCGATTAGCCGCACTGTGGATTAGAAGTTACGAACTAGCAGCAAACAAGCTAACCGCTTGTCTATACGTTAAAGTAACTATCAGCGTAATAAACAAATGGCGTGTACCGAGCATCTTTTGACAGATCTGCAGCCAATGAGGCACGAACAAATTTCAGGACGCTTAAGCTTAGCCTTTTAGGGTAGAAATTTATAGCTAAACATATAAATTTCCGCTCGTTTCCAAGCTAGACACGGTGGCGCGTATGGCGCGCTCCCGTGTCTAGTGTCGTAAGTGTCGTAAGTTCAATCACGCTTCGTCTAAAATTTATCGATGTTTTTTCTTTCAGTTAACTGAATTAATTTATAATGTGGGTCATTTGAGACATGCGGGCAACCTTTAATTCGCACGACACGTGATGGTTTTTGTAATAACTTTCATACCACGCGTGACGTGAAGTGAGCGTTGTGGGTTGTTTAAAATTCCCGCGTGAAGTCAAGTGGCGGTGACGTCACGACCCTATTCATGAATTAGAATTTTCTCGTCACGGCACCGACGTCGGCCTTTCTGCGACACGAGCTTCTTAACGCTATTGTCCGAAAAAGTGGTGCGTGAATATTATAAGCGGTCGGGTGAAGGTAGCAGGCTAAATGTTTTGGGGAAACAAGACAAACTCAAGCTGAGTCCTTAAGTTCGCACCTTCGGTATTTTTTTCTAGAATGATGCGTTTTAGGCTTAAAATGTTGACTCATTTGGTCATTGACCACAATCCTCTGAATGCGGCGTCCTCATTGGTCAAGAAATGTTGTGTCGGAATGAAGCGCGGCCCAATCATTGGCTTCCGACAGTAGCGAGAAGAGTGACGCAAGGTGGCCTGGGTCTTGACGTCATCACGATCTTCGGAGGTTCGTGATGTCCCGATATCAAAACGGACGTCACTATGATTCTTTTGACAACCAAAATGAGAACGGTGCTCATCCTAAGTTGCCTTTTAGCGGTGGTGTGTGTAAGACGCCGGAGGCTATTTCAAGAGGTATTCACGACCCCCACTAGAGCGACAAACGGAAACGACTGACACCGACCGACCTCAAGCACGCAAAGGTACCTTTAGAAAACTGGAGTTTAGTGCTCGAGAAGTGAGCAGGAATGATTACAAGCCAGCCAATGACACTGTCGCGTGCATGCTGGACGTGTTTGATACTTGTCGGTGTCGGTTGTTTCTCTTGGCCGCTCTAGTGCGACTAGGGCACTAAAGGGGCCATGAAACGATTTTTCAACTTCTTCCTCTTTAGCTTTAATCCTAAAGTCAAAAGCGGAATGACAAACCACGTGACCGTTATGTGCTTGGGCACCGGCGTAATCACTCCAAGCTTCCACTGTCCTTTTTAAGCACACCATAGAACTTGTCCTTCACAAGCGATGATAAGTTCCGTCACTGCACTCATTGGCCACAGGTGCGAATCACAACATTCGTCGATGGACTGATGGTTGACGAGCGAATACGTCCGAGTGACGCAGTGCTCCTCTGCCATGCGTGAGCTGGGGTCGGTTGACGTACTCAGACTTGTACACGTTACTGAAAATTAATAAGGAATTACATTTACAATTACTCAAGGCTAAATTGTAATTTATTACAATTACAATTACCCTCCCATGAAAGTAACTGACCGTTACCCCAAAAAGTAATCCGTTACTTTCGTGGCGTTACTTTTAACATTATTGTCCTCAAGTAAGAAACAAAGGGAAGAGGGTTATTCAAGTTCTTATTCTTGCCACCTGTTCCATTTAATGACCTTGAGTATTTTGAGCAACAACTGACTCTCGAATGTCTCGTCAGACATTTTGCATTATCTCTTACTAATATGTCGACTGCTACACTGAACACCATTTGAGCTGAGGCACTGGATGGGAGTGCCATATTCTTCCTCACGAATGCTTCATGCTCTGCAGTGAGCTTTTTCAGCGAAGCAAGGGAAGTACTAATTACCTCGAATGTAGAGCAAAGCTTCGTCGTTGCAGCCGTTGCCTGCTATTCGAGAGATTTAGCAGATCCTTCCGATACCTCTGATACCAGCGATAACGGTACCCGGTAACGATATGATGTATACGCAAAGACAGCGGTGAAGTTTCGGATATCGTTATCGGAGTCATCGGACCGATCTACTAAAATTCTGCATTCTCTAAATCGCGAAGCTGTAGAAGTCATCAATAGCAAAACATAGTTGTAAGGTGATAATTAAATATTAAATAAGGTTTGGCTTGATATTCTTCTTGTTTTGGTTCTGAACAATTCGAGCCTCACTTGAGACGTTGGTGAATAAAAAAAAAAAAGTTTCCATTATATAAATATAAGTAATAAAAGAACAAGAAGGAGACTTATAACAACAATTAATTAGAACGTCGGTTAAAACAGGGAAATGTAAACGCATGTTCGCCGAGTGTACCTTTCTTGGTGCCGTTCAAAAACGCACAGAGCACAAACCGACTGCAGTTTACTCCGGTGTTCTCCAAATAGACGTCCACTGATGCCACGGGCAGCAAAGTGTAGAGTACGAAGTAAGCCGCGCTATGACCCCACTCACGAATTTCACTCTCTCCTCAAGCCCAGAATGTCAAGTCTACGTCAGCCACCATTATGTTTTATTTGTAAAAATATCTGCTTGAGATAAGATGCGTCCTGCTGGGGCAAAACAGGAAGAAGAAAGGAAGACTATTACCATTTTCTAAATGCTGGCAAAAAGCTGACTCATAAAAAGGGTAGGGTAGACGGAGCGTTGACTCCTGTTGTGACATTATGAAAATGGTCGGAGTCACTATATCCGAGAAGGACATTGTTATTTCTTTTCAGTGCACTTACCGCCTCGAGCTTCTCGAAGAGGCGCACAATCACTTGGTGTCCTCCTCTCCCCGTCTTCGGTCGCAAAGAAAAAACAAAGGGACTAAAAAAAGGCGGAAATAACTTGCCCCCCCCCCCCCTTTTTTTTTTTCGTCAATTGTTCATTTGAATTTTTTGACATTGATGTTAGGGTCTAAAACAAAAAAAAGATAGATTCAGGGGCTTGGTGTTGCAAAAAAAGGCTTTGCGGAACTGAAGAATGCCAAGCCTCCCTTGGCGCTGGTCGATTCGCGTGACAGTGTCACTGCACTCGACTTTACAAAAATGAAAAAAAAAGAACTTAAAAAAAAATGTAACGGATTACAAGGAATCCGTTACGTAAAAAATGTAAGGGAATTACTATAAAATTACTCTAGAAAATATGTAATTATTCCGTTACAAAATTACTGATAAAAGTAAGGGATTACAAGTAATTTCGTTACTTGTAACGGATTACGTACAAGTCTGGACGTACTTTGGGTTCCGCGGATGTATCACAGTGAAAAGGCCGAAATGCTTTCGAAGGAAAACAGGTGGAAAAGAGTCCGCTCTGTTTTCGAATTTTCTTACCGAAAAGCAGGCTTTTGATTTTCTACCGTCTTTCTTTCGGTCTACTAAACGATATGCGATTAGGAAGATTACAATCAGAAATTATTTATTCCAGCCTAAAATTTATTTCACGACCCATCGAAAACTACGGTATATGTTGGCAGAACTAAAAATAGCGAATATAAAAAAAAAGAAAAAGTTTGCTAACGTTGGTTAGGTGGTGCAAGCAACCGCTCGAATAAAATAGTACCCTGCGTATCAACTATCTAGATCTTCGCACATCCACGTGCATATCAGCGTCCGGCGCCGAACACACCGTGAATGAAATATGTTGAAGCCTGGTAGCTTTTGACTTATGATTCCAATTTTTTCTTGACACCAACGCAGCATGAAGAAATTTGGATGTTTACCTTCACATTTTAGCATATTCGACGTAACATTTCATGTCAATCCGTTAAAATTTTTTCCCCTTCTCGTTCACTCAGATTGCAAGACCGACTTACCAGGGTTAATTTACAGTGCCTTGGAGGATACCCCCGTTCTGGGTGGCCTAAAGAAGCTTACCGAAAGTAAGACATATAGTTTTTTTCACACAGGGTCGTTTGACTGTGAGTGACTCTTGCGAAACCACTTGGGAAGAGGGAAGACACTGGCGCCATCCATCGGGAAACCCAGAAACACTCTCCGTCTGCGTAAACGTAGCAAACACGCAAACCAAACGATCGCCGTGACGAAGCACATTTTGGCGCTGCTCGATGGGCTGCATCAAATCGTAGGGATGGCTACAGTCGAACTTTCAATGTAAAACGGGGTGGAATGTTCCTGTAATTTCGTCTTATGCGCGCCGTCACATCTTCGTCTCTTGGGCTGTGGAAGACGTTCCGCGCAAGCGCAGTAGCCCTGTTCTGCGGAAAACTAGACGCCGCCCAAAGCGGGCCTCGCCGATTCGGTTTTCTTAGACGCACACATTACATCCTTGCTTCCCCTTCAAACCAAAACTGCTCGCCTACAAAACGTTTAACCTCTCCAAATAGCGTTACGGAAGCACCATTTGGAAAACCCATTAAAATTACTTAATCTCGAGATTAGAATCCGTTCAGAACAAAGCAGTTTGCTTCATATGCAACAACCACTCATCCGAAGCTAGTGTCTCAATGTTAAAGAATGTCTAATCAACCTCCAACTTTTAAAACTATAAAAAAATGTTGTGTTTTTTACGCCGATTTTCAATTTAACCCTATTTTTAGCTACCCGGCCAATTTCACATCACCTACACTGTAAAAAATTTCCGTAATTTTACAAACACTTTGCCGTAATTCTGACGGACAGTGTGTCCGTTTCTTAGTTAACGGACATAAAACCCGTTTTTCGTTAGGTTGAATAAAATAGTACAGTTGTGTGCCAAAGAGTACCATAGTAAAAGATAAAAGCGTTAGAAGTGCTTTTATCGTCTAATCCTGCTAAGAGCAATTTGTTATAGTAAAGAGGCCAAAGACTATACCAAGAAACCCGCAGTACCCTGCAAAAGGAACAAATAAAAGTGGGGGGAAACACAAAATAGAAATCAAGTAAAAGTCTGCAATTCACGTTAAAGCACATAGGCACTGCTCTACCTCAGTGGGAGTGAAGGTAGCGAGTTTCCTGTCTACAGATGTTTTCGAGGTTGTGATGATTGTTAGGGGGGTTCTGCGTGAGTGCAAATAAAGGGATTGCCAGAACAGTGAAGACCACACCAAGAAGGAAGGCTGTTGCTGTACAGTACGAAACGGTTGAAAGGCACCAGCACAATTCTTGCAAACAACTCCCTTCAGTGCTGTCTCATGAACTTGCAGTTCCACAACGCTGTTTAGGAGGCATAATAAGACAACCCGCTGGAGGGCCACACTTGAGATCAACTCTGGTCGTCCAGTGAAGGGCCAGAATTCTAGCCAATGTCAAAGCAGTGAGTGATCCGGAGTGAGCCTACAGTTCCTAGCACGATCCTTTCTGTAAGCAGTGTGCTCCACTGTAGCAATTGACAAGGTGACTGCCATAAACCGAATCCTGCATCCACACTTTACATGCCGCTAGAACTGTTCAGGGATGCGTCTCATGGAGTGAGTGAAGGTGCAGCAGCTTATTCGGGACCAAGTGCCCTGTTTGAGAACCACACTGCGAGTTGAAGCAACGCAAACCAGGGAGTACAGGGATGGGGTTCGTCTGGGCGGGCCAAGGTGGTGGAACACGGGGGGCAGCGTCGCTGGTTGCCCGGGCTGGCCAGAGTGCGGTGTCCGTACTCGACACAGCTGTTGCAATGATGGGCTCGAGGTTTGTGGGGACGGCAGCGGAATTCAAGGCGGCGGTAGTACACTGTGTAAGGGACATGGGTTCCGATGAAGGTGATGATGGCTGAACCTGTTGTGCCTACTCGCCTTGAGTGAAGGATGTCACCTTGATAAGACTCCAGATCATTGATGATCTCGTCGGGGGTGGCCTCCGAGGCAATTCCACGTATAACACCTTGGCAGGAGTTGTTTGGAGCGGCTAGGTAGGAGTGGACGGGAGGGGGAGTGTTTTGTAAGGTGATATTGGTGATGCGAAGTAGCCAGTTGACGATGCTTCGTGATGGGTGCGGAGGACGGTTATTTTGCCGGAGGTGGAGCGACACGTCGGTACATGTATGAGCAGGGAGCTGTACGGCTTGCAAGAACGCCGGCAAACTGTCAAGAGGCAGCGCAGCTGCGCCAGCAGGACGGACTGGGAAATGCACTATAACTACGTGAAGTTCGGGGTCAAAGACGGCCGGAAGACGAGATTTGCGGGGCTTTCCAGGGGTGATCCATTTCCCACCTTGGTCGTCTCGCTTTAGAGAGATTTTCATGTCCTGGCTCAGGATGGACGCAAAGATATTGGTGAGCTGCGAAGCGGCGATGTCGGCTGTAGCCATATTCGAAGCAGAAACGGGCGTGCCGCTCGCAGAACGAGACTCGAGCGAACCGATCTCACGGCGGACATGCTGCGGCGGGCCGACGGAGCGCAGCGATGTTTATACCAGGATCACGTACAGTCGCGTACAGTTCTCTGGGGTTTGCGGAGCCCAGAGAAGACGTCCGCTCTCGTCGGAGGTTTACAGCAGTCTCCGGACACTGAAGGTAAGGGCGTTCACATCGAAGAGTTCACTATTGAAGGGGGGCTACTGAGGTTTTAAGAGCCACTGATCGTAGCTATCGCATTCCAAAGACACCGCGTTGTCGTAGATTGTTTTTCACCGGCTACGTCCTGTAGGGCTGAGGCCAGGGCTGGGGGCTCCATCGCAGGAAACGCGGAGGAACCAAGCAACGACGTGAGGCTTGCCGAGTCGGTTCGTGAGTGACGACGACATTCGAGCGACGCTTCCAAGAAGACTGGATATTCTTTCCGGCGAGGACACAATACTTAGACAGCATGCTTGGGGCTGATCAGGATCGCAGGAGGTGGATAACAAGACAACCAATGCACAGCAAATAGGTCGAGCACGGTACACGGCACAATAGTGGTCGCCGCCATGTTAAATTGAAACGAAACTGACGAAGCCAAGCTCCAGTTTAGTACACAATGCGCTTCGACATGCTTTATTACAAATAATTTTATAAATCTTAAAACAATTTTTTTGTATCTTAGAGTTTTAATTTAAGTCGAATAAAACAAGCAAATTCACGTTGCGTCAAATAAACTCGGTCAGAACTCGGAACCAACGAGCATCGCCGCATCGCCATCGCCATCGTAACAAAACGCATATCGTAACAAAATGCATATCAGGAGACGTTAGGGAAATCGGCACTAACAAGGAAATAATTATCCTGGGGGACATGAATGCACATTTGGAAGACTTTGATGGACATACGGATACAACAGGTAGGATGTTAGAGGAGTTCTGTGAAGCTCTTGATCTGGTATTGGTTAACGCCCAGGTAAAATGTGATGGAAAAATAACATGGGAGAGAAAGAACTCACACTCTACTATCGACTACTGTTTAATGTCACGGAAGATATACAACAGACTTGGAGGTATGGAAATAGATGAGGAAAGCACAAAAAGTCTGGGGAGCGACCATAAGAGAATCAAGATCAGATTTGGCACAGTAAAATCAGAAACACAAAATCAAAAACAAGAGGGTAGAAATAACTTAAATGATAAACAATTACAGGAGGTATCTAAGCGGATCGAGAACATAGTATCCAAGCTACCGGAAAGAGGATGGACATATGAAGACTTAGTTACTCTTTTCAAAAGAGAATTAGAGAAATATCGAACCAGACAAGGAGGAAGGAAACATAAACGCAAGCTCAAAAGCTGGTGGGATAAAGAGGTTAAGGCAGCAATATCGAGACGCCAAGCGGCATCTAGAGAACACAGATGGGCAAAAAATAAGGGGGCCACTCCAGCCGAAGTGACAGCAAAATGGGAGGACTTTCAGGAACGAAAGCGGGAGGCATCAACATTAATACAGGCCAAAATTGGGAGGGCAGGGGTCCAGTGGATGATAGAGATAAACCAAAGGGATAGGAATGCGGCAAAAAGGTTCTGGGAACACATCAGTGCACAGGGAAAAAAGACTGAGGAGTACCAGCAGACACTAATCACACAGGAAGGGACAAAGGTAGAGGGGGAAGAGGCAAGGGAATACATTAGACATACAATCGAAGCAGCATTTTCAGAGTTAGAATCAGATCAGGCCATAGGGAATAATAGCATCTACACAACACAAGAGGAGGATCATAGTGAAGGAGAGGAAACGACCATAGGGGAATGGGAGAAAGCAGAAGGAAGGGTTCCGGCTGGAACTGCGACAGGTCCAGATGGCATACCAATGAGACTGATAAAAGTTCTAGGCCAAACAAGCAAATTGAAACTAAGGCAGGTGATTGACCAGATACTAATGGGAGGGGAGGTACCCAGTGACTGGAAATTGAGCAGAATGAGATTATTATATAAGGGCAGGGGAAACAAAGACAGTATCAAATCATACCGACCAATCACAGTAACTTCAGTAATATACAGACTAGCTATGCAAATCGTAAAAAGAAGAATGGGCAGAGAGAAAGCAGATTCTGGGGGAGCTCCAAAACGGTTTCAGGATGGATAGACGATTAGATGATAACTTGTTCATAATCACTCAGTGCATAGAGATAGCAATGACAAGCCAAAGGCCATTATGGGTAGCATTTTTGGACATCAAAGGGGCATATGACAATGTGAATCAGGAAAAACTTTGGAAACAGCTAAAAGGATATGGCCTAGGGGGAACCACGGTTAAGTTCCTAGAACGGGTTTATACGGAGAATAGGGTGATTATAAAATGGGAAGCCGAAACTACAAAACCAGCAGCAATAAAAAGAGGACTTAGACAGGGTTGCCCATTGTCTCCCCTGCTCTTTATGATATACCTCAGTGAGATGGAAAAAAGATTAGAACAGTGCAACCTAGGTTTTGACCTGAATTACATGGAGGAAGGACATAAGGTAAATCAACTATTGCCAGGGTTAATGTATGCAGATGACATTGTACTCGTATCAGAAAGCCGTGAGACAATACAGGAACTGATTAGAA